ATACATTTTTCAATATTACATTAACACAGCCATCGCCTCATGCGTGAGAGTTTCTCGTTAGAGGTAGAGAGCTTGCGAATCTATCAATAGAGTTGGCTCAGTTTACTGAACGAACGATGAACCGCTCTGCAAAAAGAGCGGTAGCTCTTATAACTCCATCACGCCAAATCGACCTTCCAGCAATTGCTGCTCAATTTTCAATTTTGACTTACCACCACTCAGTTACTTGACAAGTGACTTCATCTCGTTTGCCACTCTACGCTCCGACCGTTTTTGCTCCTCTCTCTGTCCTCTTCACTCCTACTAAATCTTCTAGCTGTTAGCTCCTACAGCTGTTGGCTCCTAAGCACATAACTTCTACAGCTCTTCACTCCTACAGCTCTTCGATCCAGTAACTGTTAGTTGTTACAGCGTTGGCTGCTAAGCTCATACCTTCTACAGCTCTTCGATCCAGTAGCTGTTAGCTCTTACAGCTGTTGGCTCCTAAGCTCATAGCTTCTACAGCTCTTCGATCCAGTAGCTGTTAGCTCTTACAGCTCTTGGCTCCTAAGCTCATAGCTTCTACAGCTCTTCACTCCTACGGCTCTTGGATCCTGTAGCTGTTAGCTCTTACAGTTGTTGGCTCCTAAGCTCATAGCTTCTACAGCTCTTCACTCCTACGGCTCTTGGATCCTGTAGCTGTTAGCTCTTACAGCTGTTGGCTCCTAAGCTCATAGCTTCTACAGCTCTTCATTCCTACAGCTCTTCGATCCAGTAGCTGTTAGCTCTTACAGCTGTTGACTCCTAAGCTCATAGCTTCTAGAGCTCTTCACTCCTACAGCTCTTCGATCCAGTTGCTGTTAGCTCTTGCAGCTGTTGGCTCCTAAGCTCATAGCTTCTACAGATCTTCTCTCCTACAGCGCTTAGCTAGTACATCTCTTCCCTACTACTGCACATAGCTCCTATAGCTCTTCGCTCCTACTACTACGACCACTCTTCGCTCTCCTAGCACTCAATTCCAGGTCCAAGACATTCGGATTTCGTAGTCCGCATTTCTGAATTTTTGTCGTTCAAGCTGTGATCCCATTAGTACCATACACTAGTTCTTATTTATTTGTTTACGAGTTAGTTACAAGAAGTGACATAGTTTACAGAAATACAGATGTGCTCTTTTTAAGATTTTAAAAAATGTGTGTTTTTTTTTTTTTAACTTTTTTATTGGCAATAGTAATAAACAAGAAAGAGACATTTAACAACCCTATAATTCAAACAATCAACATTTACATTAGGCTGGCGCTGGCACACAAAAATTTGAAAAACACAAAATTAAACACGAGTGGTGAACTATGGAACTTGGGTGGTTGTGTACACCTCTTGAACATACTTCCAAATAAAAAAATAAATATAAAATTCATTTGAGCTATTCAAACAGTTCATCTGTTTTACTAGAACCGTTTACAACGAATCTTGGATGATAATATTTAAGTAATAGCGGCGTTACACGTCGTTAAGTCGACCATTATTGACTTTGGTATTTGTCCAAAACTGCTTCCGTCGGATTTTGTAAGGGTTGGACGCCCTTTAAACACTGTTTAAAGGCCAATACGATGAGCGATGGGTTTTTGATTATTCCCTATTAAAGAGGATGGATGTTTTTATCGCCGGGGTTTGGCGTGGGGAACCGTATGAGAAAAATTATTGTTTCCAATTACTCATCGAATTTAATTATTCATGCCGTTAATTGTAATTGCTTTTTTAATGAAGAGCCTAGTTTTGAAAGTTTTAATAGTGAATTATACATTATTTATGTAATAAAATGGCATTTTTTAGTTTTTTTAAATTAAATTTATTTATTAAAATTAATTTTACAATAATGTTATAGAATAAATAAATGTTTACATTCTTATAAACCCATTGGTACAATAAGATTTACATTTCACTATTCACTATTTATTTTTAACTATTCAAGTTCATATGGCTTTGTTCTTTTCAATCTTCTGACCATGTTTCGGTTATGTAAGAGTTTGGTCGCTTCCACATTCCCGTGCTGGCTGAGGCGAGCTTGGTGTTTGGTGGCAAATCTTTGTATTCCTTCATTTTCTTAAGATCCCTATGTATGTCCTTATTGCTTATGTACCAAGGTGCATTAACTATGTTACGTAAGATTTTATTTTGAAGTGTTTGTACGATTTTGATATTGCTGTGTTTGGTCCAACCCCATAGTTGAATACCATATGTCCACATAGGCTTTATGACTTGTTCATACAATAATATTTGTACAGCAAGATTGGAGCCACTTCCTATCAACCAGTATAGTTGTCTATACCTTAAACCTATTTCTGTCCTTTTTTTCTTCAAGTGTTCTTTCCATCTCAGCTTGGCATCTAAGGTTATTCCCGTATATTTAACAATATCGCTGTATGGTATAGTAGTTCCATCGATTGAGAGCGACGGAACATGGTCCACTTTTTTGTTTGTAAAGATTAAATGAACTGATTTATGCTGATTTAGCTTGATTTTCCATTTTTTGTCCATTTTATTATTACATGCATTTTGGAGTATTTTGGTTGAATGGGTGATATTCGGTCCGAGTGATGTCACCGCTGTGTCATCTGCAAACGTTGCAATTTTTACTCCATCTATTTTCGGAAAATCACAAGTGTATAACAAGTAAAGCAGTGGACGTAATATGCTACCTTGTGGCACTCCTGCATTTATTGTTTTTAATTTTGAATATTGATCTAAACAGTCTGTCAGGTAGGAACTGATAATATCGACATACTGCTTGGGTAAAAATGGTAGTGTTAAAAAATCTAAACGTACTTCTATCTGACCGTGGAATGTCAATATCATCGTCCAATTTTACGCTTAGAATGATTCCACAGCATATGTAAAGCCATACTTTAATAAATTTTGAAAGAAGGAAAGATACCAGTTTTCAAGTAATTCCTCTCATATTAAGCAATTATCTAACACATCTTTTTTTGAATATAAAATATATTTTGCATTGTATAAATTCACTTTTCTACATCCTAAATGTAATTGTTAAATGTAAACATTGTTTGTAAATCCCAGGCCCTGAAGATGATCTCAATAAAAGATCGAAACGTTGGCACNACAATTTTAGATTAAAAAAATGAATTTATTCAATTCTTAAAAATTTTAGATTAAAAAAATGTATACAATCCTAAAAAAATTTAGATTAAAAAAATGAATTTATACAATTCTAGATAATTTTAGATTAAAAAAATGAATTTATTCAATGCTTAAAAATTTTAGATTAAAAAAATTAATTTATACAATGCTCGAAAATTTTAGATTAAAAAAATGAATTTATATAATGCTAGACAATTTTAGATTTAAAAAAATTTATACAATGCTAGAAAATTTTAGATTAAAAAAATTAATTTATTCAACGCTTAAAAATTTTAGATTAAAAACGTGAATTTATACAATGCGAGAAAATTTTAGATAATAAAATTTATACAATGCTAGAAAATTTTAGACAAAAAAACAAATTTATACAATGCTAGAAAATTTTAGGTAAAAAAAGTCAATTTATACAATGCTAGAAAATTTTAGATATAAAAATTTATACAATGCGAAAAAATTTTAGATTAACGATCTTATAACTCGTTTTTGTAAATTCAAAACGAAAAATTTCCTTTTTTTAATCGTAATATGTTACAAAAAATATTTTTACAATAAAAAAATGAATGAAAAAATAACATTTAATTCTCTTACAGTCAAAATATAATTATAAATTAAAATTGAATTTTCCTTTCTATTGTAATAAAAACACAAAATAGATTCCATTCGTTTGAAAGGGTAGGTTTTATGTCTTACAGATAAATGTGTTCTCTTATTTTGGCAATGTTCACGGTACCGCGTACTGCGTAAGACTCGCCCCTTTTCTTTTTCTCTCTCGATCCTGTAAGTCCAGAACGGCAGTGTTGGTTGACTTTGTTGTTACGTAACAGATGCATAGATAGATAGGGATTGTTAGATATATATACAGATTGGCAGATAGATAAAGAGATCTAAGAGGGAGAGAGTGAGAGAGAGGGAGAGAGAGACAGTGAGTGAGAGGGAAGGAGCGAGAGAGAGAGATAGAACGTGTATCGAACGTGAGGCGGGTTCAGAAAGTATACTATTTGTGTATTTCACGGCGCACAGATCATTAGTTTTGCAAGAATTGCCAGTCGAGATGGTTTAGTATAACATTTGAGCCGTGAAAGGAATGAATAATTTTTGACGATTTACTACATTGTTTGGTATTATTATACTAAAAACGTACATTTTAACCGTTATTTTTAAGAATTAAAAGTAGTTTCGAGAACCATTAAAAGGTTGAGAGTTTGAGTACGACGTTATAACGTCATTTTAGTAGATATATGGAGAGAGAGGCACCAAGTGCATTAGTAACGACCTATCCAAAGACAGCTGTTCAATGATTTTAGATCAATCAACAACTTATTTTTTGTCATTCCCCATCGTCTTAGTCCATCTATCTTCAAATTCATCTTTCGGTCTGTCAGACCGCATTTCGCCTTCCATTTATCTTCTGTGATTAGTCTGTCTCGTATAGACAGCTTTGCTCATTTTTAAAATTGTAAACGCGTATGAGAAGCAAAAATCGACGAACATGACCGAGGATGATCGGAAATGACGAAACGTCAAGGTCATAACCCTAGAATTCGAGAGGAAATGTACGAATTTAATATAGTAAAAGCAAGTGGTGTATAGGTAAATAGAAAAAATAGGTAGTGAGTGAAAGCAAGAAAAAGAAAGAGAGATGAGATAACTAATAAAAAAATTCAAATCCTAAATTTTCGAACTATCATGAGATGAAATTAGAGTTGATTTATTTTACAAATAAAATAAATCTCAAGTCTCTTAACATAAATCTCAAGATTAATTACATTTAACTTGATCGATTTTATCAAATGCATGTTGTATTTGATCTTATATCAGAAAAATACCATAAAACCAAATAAGTTTAACGTGAATTCTTTTTTTAGGTGAAAGATGAACCTGATCAACTTGGACGCGGAGAACCGGGTGGTTCTCAACGTTGGTGGGATCCGGCATGAGACGTACAAAGCTACGCTCAAGAAGATCCCAGCGACGAGGCTCTCCAGGCTGACCGAAGCCCTTGCCAACTATGATCCGATCCTGAACGAGTACTTTTTCGACAGGCACCCCGGTGTCTTCGCTCAAGTTCTCAACTATTACAGGTAAAGCCAAAGAAATAATCTGTTTTTATACCGAAATCTTCATTCGATGTACCGTTTGTAGAACTGGGAAACTGCACTATCCGACGGACGTCTGCGGTCCTCTGTTCGAAGAGGAATTGGAGTTTTGGGGTTTGGATGCAAATCAAGTGGAACCGTGCTGTTGGATGACCTATACCCAGGTAGGGGTTTTGTTTATATCAGACTTAATCTCTAGTACAAACAAAATTATTATTTGGAGATCGTGAGGTGAGGTCTGGTGCGACATAGGTTTTAGAAAAACATTTTCTTTATCGTAACAACGTTTCGATCATGATTGGGATCATCTTCAGGGCTCAAATTGTTTGTTTTCTGCGTAATTGTGTCATTCTTGTGTGTCGTGTTGAGAGACAAGACAAGAATGACCCAATTACGCAGAAAACAAACACATTATTTAGATCGAAACGTTGGTACGATAAAGAAAATGTTTTTCTAAAACCTACGTCGCACCAGACCGCACCTCACGATCTGAAAATAATCATTGGCTAACGTTGACTAAACACCACACATTAGTACAAACAAATTTTTTTTCTATATTTTACTATTATCTAATAATTGGACAGAATTGATAAGGATACCAGAAAATCCGGAATGATCTTCACTAAGAACTGCATCCTTGGGGTTCATTTTAAGTTTTCTAGTAAATTTGATCAGTTCAATTCGATCTTATTTTTAGAAGGAAAAGGTTAGTACACATTCAATTTTTTTAGCTGGGTTTATAACCCTAAGTTATATCTTCATAGATATTTCTTCACATTGGAATATATGAGTGACAATTTTATACTCTTCATTGAATAACGTACTAATTATTAGGTCTATTTTGTACTAAAAATCAACATGGGGGTTCAGCTGAAAGGAACTGTTAACAATCTTCAAGAGCGTCTATATCCCTTTGGCAACGTATGGAGTAGCATCCTGGGGTACTGCAAGGTACAACCAAACCGGTACTAGAACAAACCAAGCAATTTGCTTTACTGAGGACATCGAAGGGGTACAGAACGGCTTCCAATCACGCTCTCCAAGTGTTAATGATAGCAACAACCATTGACTTGGTCATAAAAGTCCATATTGTAAAGAGAGAGCTAAAGAAGGGATTGCTACCCGGCTTAGAGAAGCATGAAGCGAATTGGCTAAGAAATGCACCCAACAGCCAGCGCGAAACGTTTCTCAACGAATGAGCAACCGACACCTGGCAAAGCAGATGGGAAAATAGTGTCAAGGGCAGGCTTAATTATTAGTTCTTTCCCGTCAGAAAGAAAAAAACAGAGTTCAGTGCAACCAGATTTTTGGTCTACACAATTGCTTACGGGGCATTGAAACTTTGCAGTTTATCTGCAAAAATTCAAGAGAGCTAATACCCCACGTACGACACATGCTATTCTTCTGCCCAAGCTTTGTACAACTTCGTCAAGACCTGCGAAACAGTTTTCACAATATATGGCCACGGAGAGCTTTAGTGAAGTGTACTTCATTTTAATTCATTTGTCATTCATTCATCATGTGGACATTTAATTTGTCGTGGAGAATCCAATCCGATTACACGACATTTGAAAAATGGCAAAAAAGAGGGAAAACTCATAAGGTGGGGTTGTGATGGGAAGTTGATGTTCGAGTGGATCGAGGTCACGATAGCTCAAGTGGTAGAGCAGCGGCGTGTCTAGCCGAAGATCGTGGGTTCGAATCCCGCTCGTGGCATTAACTTTTTTTCATCTCAACTAAAAACCTTAATTAGTTTTAGTAAGGTTCTTTAGTCAGAAGTTTGTCCACTGCTCTTTTTATTTTTTGTGGATCCATTCTGACACAGAGTTGTTTTTGTTTGATCCTTTGGTACCAAGTGTAAGTCCTGTACTTATGGTTAGAAGTGCGTACTAGTTCAGTAATAATACATAAAATACAGTGACAAAAAACTAAATGAGACAAATTAAGTTTTGATTAGTTTTTAAAGTTTATGTTACTTGATGAAGAAAGTTTGTAAACATTTCCAGCCTCGTGAATCGGCAATAATTCACATCGATATAGCCTTTTCGTTTGTTTTCTTTAGCGTGTAAAATACGCGAACATCAGGTTGAAGTTAAATTGTTCATTCATTCATTCACTGGGCCAGATTCGTCGAATGAATTTTCATTAATTCCCCAGGCCCCACACTTAGAAAAATGGAATATTTATTTAACAAAATGTAAATGCATATGTAAAATTTCAACATCACTAAAAAAAAAGGTCACGATAATACACATGTCAACAATTTGTTATCAAGGGTGATAATGCTGAAGGCAGTTTTAACAAATTGTCGCCACGCTTAATTTCAATTTTTATAATTCGAGCCAAAGACAAAATTAATAGTTTTTTTTTATAAAGCAACGAATATTGATAATGTTAACATAGAATGACAACCGGACTAATTGGCAGTAGCACCAATTTTTATGGGATAACAGAAATGGCCACAAGGCTTTACCTCCCCTGAATCGACTAAATTCCTATTGTACTCTTCTATTTTTATAAGTGGCTAGCTACGTGTATCTTATTTTTATGCATGACAATTCAAGTCCCTGCACAATTAGGACCGTTGGTGATTAGTTGGGACGGGCATCATTTCAATGTTTGGAGTCGCCAGCGTGTAATCCCTACTTAAACCCTACCCAACAGCTTTGGGACGAGGTATCAAAGAAGGTAAAAAGGCTGAGATGCCTGAGAATTTACAGGAATTAAGGATGACACTGTTGGTGGAGTATGAAAGCTTTCCTAAAATCCATGCCACGTTGACTGCAACGGTGGTAATAAACGCAATAGGAGGAAATACTCCACACTGAATTGAATTTTTTCTTCATTGTTTCTATGGCAACACTTGTAGTAAAATACTTTTACTCCGTTCAATATTTTTTAATCTTTTTATTTAGCTACATCTCCTATTTTATTTTCAAATATCCAATAAACAAAAAAACATAAAAATTATAACGCGGTAAGAGTGTGGTCATGGTGTGATGTCAGTTATTTTCAGCTGTCCGTTATTATTTGTGCGTTGTTAGTTTTTGTTGTATTGGATTGGACGTTTTCTTCTGAACGCTTGCGCTATTTTTAAGTTGTGCTTTACTCAAGTGAAAGCAATAAGTAAATAAATGGGGGGAGTCGGTGGCCACAACGGTTTAGGCGTTGACACGGCGCTCATCACTGTAAGGTTAAGGTCCTTACGTTGAGGTTGATATAACCTCTGCTGTTACGAACCCCGAGAAAAAAAAAAGAAAAAAAAAAAAACATTCCTAAACTTCCAGAGATCATGTTGTACCGGCCAGGGTCACATACTGGGTCTGTCTCCACTCGCGGATTTTTGAGTTAGTCAAACGCGTTTTGGCATTGTGCCATCTTCAGTAAGGAATTAACCTCTAGATAGTTCCTACTCACAGTAAGTTGTTTTGCAACGAACCGGATTTCAAGCCTTTTAGCTCATCATCAGGTTGAAGGACTTCTACAACCACGTCTCTCGACATGAATTGCCAAAGTGAACCCGCTGATACCTCCGCCAACTCGACGTTTCAATTATCAGCTGATTTTTCTAATGCCGCTCAATTTGAACGTGCGAAACGCGGAAATTATAACACAAATAAATATTTATACTAGTAAATACTTAATATTATTAAATTAATATATTATATATAAATTAAATATATATATTTATAATAAAATAAATATATATATACTTAATATTATAAATATTTATTTGTGTTATAATTTCCGCGTTTCGCACGTTCAAATTGGGCGCCATTAAAAAAATCAGCTGATAATTGGAACGTCGCGTTGGCCTGATGATGCGCTAAAAAGCTCGAAATCCGGATCGTTGCAAAACAACTTACTGTGAGTAGGAACTATCTTTTTAAAAAGGATTGAACACCACACTCACTCCATCATTTATCATTTCTATTAACCTCTAGGGTTTATCAACCTCCTTTCCTATTCTGTGATAAAGGATTCTGTTTGTCAAAAAAAAATCTCAGTATACAATGATACTTTTCTATACAGATATTTTTTTAAATCTTTAACATAATTGCTTATTAAGTAAAAAACTATTTAAAAAGTTCCTAAATTGTAAGATATAACTCTGAGAACACATTGGCAAAGCCAGGGCATAAATAAGGCAAAGAGAAAAAATAATCTTTATAAAAGTCAATTTTAATTATACTATCAGATAGAAATGAATGTTAAATTCTAAAAAGTAGTCATTTTGAGTGAAAATGTAAAAAATCGGTTATAAAGGTTATAAACTTACTGCAATTGACACTAAAAATTTCTTGGGTAAATATGCCAAATGAAACTCTCAATATCAAATTTAATTTTTTCAATACTTTTCCGACAATTATTTGGGGGTCGTGAAATGCGGTCTGGTGTGACGTAGGTTTAAGAAAAAATATTTTCTTTGTCGTGCCAACGTTTCGATCTTTATTGAGATCAACTTCAGGGCTCAAAGCGTTTGTTTTCCGTATAGTGTGTCATTCCTGGACACTCTCAACACGATACACAAGAATAACCATCTACACAGTAAACAAACACTTTGAGCCCTGAAGATGATCTCAATAAAGGTCGAAACGTTGGCACGATAAAGAAAATGTTTTCTAAAATCTACTTCACACCAGACCGCATCTCACGACCGCCAAATAATTATCAAGTAACGGTTCCTAAACTCCACATTTTTCTGACGCTTTTCAGCTTCTGACGCGAGGAAAAATCATTTTCTCCACTTCCTCCCGTTGTCCGGTTGTCCGATGTCCGATTTATTTTCTGAACTTGTTTTTCCAACAAAAAAATTGTTTTTTTGGCCTGCTTTTTGTGACGTATTATCGCTACAAAATTTTCATTAAAATCGTTCATTGCTCGTCGCTAGGCTACGTATTGTTTCCTAGTGAAAAACATGAAGGATGTTTATGTTGTTTATTTACATGAATTGGTGATAAAAACTAATGCATAAAATATTACAATAAAATACATAAAATATTGACGCATTTGATTTAAACAAAATGCTTTCAAGAAAATTAGGGCCTGGGTCCACTGGAACTTCTTAATATAATGTAACACCCCAAAAAAATTATTAAAACGATTTATCTCGTAAAATTTAAAGTTTTGTGCAATAATATCAAAATTGAAATTGTTTTTAATT